TAAGTCAAGAACAACCAACTTCGAAGAGCGATCTACCCCAAGTTTTGAAGCAAGAGTGGGCGAAAATCCTACAATCTAAAATTGACGAGATGATTCTCACGATGCCCCAAAGGATCAACGAACTCTACGAAGCGAGAGGAAGATCTACTAGATATTAATTAAATTATAAATATATCAATTCATGTGAATATGACTGAAAATTTTCAATTTTTCTGAAAAGGTGGTGTCTATTTACTTGTGACCACGCTGTGTAGTTCTGGAAATAAAATGTTTAATAATAATACTAGTAGAATCCAAGTTAAGCATAAAAAGTGGAAGTGTTTTACCAGTTTCGTAACCTTTGAGTCACATTTGTAAACGGTTCAAATCTAAGTAAAAAATGAGAATGTAATTTATATTTAAACACTTCAAAGATAAAAATATAAATTGCTCCAAATATATAAAAAAATATATCTTTTAAAACTCAAACATTTACAACTTAACTGTGTGTATATATATACATATATCAGACCTTATCATTATTCAGGAAATAAAGTTAAAACTTGTAAAACGTACAAACCGAAAATTTAATTCTTATAGATATAAGATATCTTATGAATTAACATGTTACCTTTAAATGTTAAGGTTACCGGAAACATATCATCATAATTATGGTCATAGAAAAAATATTTTCGTCATCAATTTCTAGTATGGTCATGGATATTTTCTATCAATTCTGGATCATCTCATCTATTACAGGGAGTAGAAAGAAGTCCTATCTCTGACAGTTTTACTTTAAAATAGCTAAGTGACCTACTATTAAGATTGAATCTTGTTTCTTTGGCACAGTTTCAAAATTTACTGTATTTTACATTCTCTATAGAGACAGTTCAAACCTATTTCTCTTTTATCGATCCTCAATTTCAGTATATTATATTTCTGTATTCTTGACGGTGAGAAAAGTTATTGTGGACAGTCATTTTACTTTTTGGCATTCTTAAGTCTGGTATTTTTTCTTTTAAGCAAATACCTTGGTGTAAATACTTTAGTTCCAAATACACTCGTACTTCTAGTTTTTTGATAATACAACTTTATATTTTGTAAAACGTGTTGGTATTACTCTACCTATCATGTCTATTTCTTTCTAAAGTTTGTCTGGAAGCAATCTGGTGTTGATTCTCTAGATTTTAGCTATTAAAGTTTCTGTAGAGTTTCACTGCTTCCAAAGAAGTTATATAACTTGCTTTTACCTAAATCTGCTTGATGGTCGTTGGTCGGAGTTTGAAGTATTGTACTTCCAGTAAATCTTCTCTCTTTCCTGAAGTAGTTGCTGTTTTTTAAGCTGAATTCAAAACTGAGGGAAAGTATAGACATAATGACTCATGAAGAATTTGTGTCTGTCATGGGAAATAATAGCTAAAATGGTTTCATGATGCATTCTTTAACGGATGTAGTTTATTGTAAGCATAAGAGTAATTAAAAATAATATAAATATGATTATATAGACAGTTTAGGGCAGGCTAAAACGATTTACTTCGAGTTGAGATTAGCTGATCCTATAATTTCAAAAAAGGATCCTTACACTTCGCATGGCTTATAGTTGGACCCTCTTTTAAAGAAATATTTCCTGACGTTCCTATTGTTTTGCAAAATGGTTCCTTAATAATCCCATTTTAAGTTTTCACTCTTCCCCTGTGCAATAAATTCCTTTCCCTGAAGTACAGTATTTTCCATTTTGTCGAATTTGAATTTTAGTTCATCCCCCAGCTTCACATCCCCCCTCGGTAGAAAGATGTGGATTCAACACTGGCCTTTAGTATTTCATAAATTAATATTTTTCCAATGAAGCTCAGAAATGTCGTAATAATTTATAATTTTTGCTTTGGTTTTACTTGGCTTTTGGTATGTGATTTCTTTTAAAATAAACTGTCATTTCGAAAAAAACTTTGACCTCACAAAGTTCTAAATGTGGTGTCTAATTCTCGAGTTTTCTCTTCCTAAAATTCGTAACATTTACCCCATTTATTGCTATGAGCACTGTTTACTGAAAGAGAAGATAATCTATAATTAACATACATACTTTGGTTGAAATCATAATAATATCGCTCATCACCCTTAGCTAGAGACTGAACCAACAGTTAATGTCATAAAGTCCTAGCTTATCACTGTTAGTTGGAGACTGAATCACGAATTAAAATATAAATAGCTTGTTCAACACTGTCAGTTAGAGACTGAACCACGAGTTGAAGTATAAAAAGCTCGCTCATCACCATTAGCTAGATACTGAACCTAGAGTTAGCGTCATGAAGTCCTAGCTGTGTCAGTACATCAATCTGCTATTCGGAAACCAATTAAAATGGTGTCTGTAGATTTTTCGTATCCTTCATCGAATGGGTATGGCATGGTCTGGTGGTTAGGCCGCTCGACTTGCAATCGGTGGGTCGCGTGTACGAATCCCTATACAGAAAATGTTCGGCCTTTCAATCGTGAAGGCGTTACAATGTGACAGTTAATCCTACTTTTTTTTTAGTAAATAGTAGCCCAAGAATGGGCTAGTGGGTGTTGACCAGCTGCCTTCCCTCTAAACTACAACTTCTAAATTAGGGACGGCTAGCGCAAATAGCCCTCGTGTAGCTTTGCGCGAAATTCAATAGAACAAACAAACAAAATTCTCTGAACGATCAAAATAGTACTTTCAAAATATGCCTGTCTAAGAACTAATATCTTCCCAATTGTTTACTTAGTAGTGTGTAATGTATATATTGTTC